GTGCTCCAAAAAAAATTTAAATTGAGCCCTTGTGTGGACCTGGTCCCGGAGTAGCCCTATTGTGTATACTACTACAGTCTAATTACGAAAACTAGCTGCAAACTGGTCAGCCCCTGCTCCCTCGACCGTGATGGACAAGGGGACTGCGCTACGTTGGCAGAATTTCTTCAACCTAATCAGTGGGACATTAGGAAGGGTGGATGCCCATCAGATGCCGTTATTTGAAAAATATCCCCAGTAGTTCTTGTCTGATTGTAATAAAGTATCCCAGCAGTGTAGGCTTTTTCAGATTTTCAAATGTTTGGATGGTATGGTGACTGATCCAATTTGATCCTATTTCTGTGTTTTTTACCTCGATATTTAATCATGTAAAATATGACGTCTACGTATGCTGTGATATCAAAAATACACATTTGATATATTTGAATCCATAAACTAAACAACCCCATTTTGCCATCGCAAAAAAAATCTGAAATTTTACTTAGATTATAAGATTTAATCTTCGTTGATCAGTTTATACTTATACTATCAATTGCGCATGAGGGTGGCGCAGCAGAGTAAACGAACCAGTCATGAATTCTGGGATATCATCCGGGTACTCACTAGAGAAAAACAATAACAAAAGCAACAACCAGTCCACGGAAATTGCTCTGAATCAGTGGCCCTTTAACTGAACCGTTATCAATGATCTCACCTGCTACGGTTTTACAGGCTTCCATATGTAAACTTGAGTATGAATTCTTACAAACAGTATGTTAATAGTTATGTGATAGGTCTTATTTGTTTAGTGTTCAACATCACACTATATGTATTCATGTACATGTAAATGATTTTAATGGTATTTGTAAGTTGATTATTAGTGTACTTTATTGTGTATGCCAGATGAAGACCCTGTTGTATTCACTTTTTAACATCCTCAAAGTAGGGGTTAAAGTTTTATGGGCCCATTTCTGGTGTCCCCCGGCGTGATGTTGCTGGAATATTGCTAAAAGCGGCGTAAAACCAAACTCAGTCAGTCAGTCAGTAAAGTTTTATGGAAATAATTTCACGGGGAACTTACTACCCCTACACCGTGGCTGGCCAAGCTAATCCTAATCTCTAATAGATAGGACTAATTAACATAGGGCTGGGTGAGCATGAATAACCCACAACATGACAGACAGACAGACAGGTTTATTAAAGTCTCACTCGTAGTACATATAAAAACATATATAACTTCATATACATATACAATATAAATAAAATATGCTACGACCAGTCGCTCAGCGACTTATGAGAGACATTATTAAAATAAAATATTCATAAAATATATACTGACAAAATACAGCTGTGTAAATTAGCCATATAAAATTTCACGTCTTTTAACTAAAATATCATGGCAGGTTTTGGCAATGCTAAACACTACATCGGGGGAAGTAAAAAGATATGAAAGCCTTTCATGGCATGATAAATCCTTAAAATGAACGTTATTAAGAGCACATTTTTGCATTAGATCTTTTCTGCTATAGTTAAAAGCCGGACATAAAAATAAAACATGGATTTCATCCTCGACTACATTTTGGCAAATAAAACAATCTCTCGTAGTGCGGTATATTTTCATTTCTTCCTGTTTCAACTCTTATTGGGGCCACTCCACATCTGAACTTTGCTAAAGAACTTCTGTGACCTGTGACCTTTTTATTTTGTTTTAAAAAGTCTATACTTTCTCAATTTGTTTCCTCCTCGTCTTCCCCCTTCGTCATTCATCTTCTCTCTCCATCCTTGCTTGTAGGCTGTATACATTGCTTCTTGCACGTTCATGATGAATAGCTTCTTTTCCAGGTGGTGTTCGACATCTGTAAGGTGTTCGAATCCAAGGGACACAAGATGGGTTTTGACTTTAAAATTCCAATTTTTCTTTTTGTTTTTGTTCGCCATTACAAATATCCTCTTATTCAATCTTCTGCTTGTGGTATTAACGCATCTTATCCAATGTCTTAGCACAGATGTCCAATTCCTCACTTTTGGGGGCAGATATCCCATCTCTCCGTTTATAGCTGCGTTGGGTGCATATTTCCCGTGACCTAGGAAAAATATAATTGCTCTATGATGGACTGCGTTGATGCATGAGTCTTCTGTTGTTCCCCAAATTGCAGCGCCATAACTTATAACCGAAAAGACCATGGTGTCATAGAGCTTCGTAAACACATTATGGGGCATTTCCGTCTAGAGTCTTAAACTTTGAGATGAGCAGTCCCAGTGATCTGTTGGCTGACTTGGCTGCGGATTTGGCCATGGCGTTATAGTCCAGATGCTGTGTTAGAAGCACGCCGAGGTAGTGGTACTGATCGTCAACGTCAATGGCCGAATCACCACATGTAAAAATTGTACTTGTTTTACTTTTTGAAGGAACTCTAAAATGGACCACCTTTGACTTTTCCGAGTTGATAGTCATCTTGTTTACTCCACACCATATATTTACTGCATCCAATAAACACTGAAGGTCTTCTGCATTCTCAGCGAGTAGTACGATATCGTCAGCATAAGCCAATACGCCAATGTTCATCTCCGAACCTTAACCCCCTTAACGCATTCAACGTAGAAATTAAGTCATCTATATATACGCTAAGCAGAAACGGCGAAAGCAAACAACCTTGCGAGAGACCTTGATTTACGTTGAACCATGGCGTATGTAGTCTGTTCACCCGAACACAGCACCTAACATTCTGGTAGAGAGATTTACGAGCCGTCAACATTCTTCCTCTTACTCCTTTCAACTTCTTCCAGAGAATGTTCCAGTCATAGGCCTTCTTGAGATATGGTCCATGGTTGATCTACCTTTCCTAAAACCATTTTGCTCGTCCATTTAAAACATCATTCCTCTCCAGCCACGCATTTAGACGAGCATTCAACACACCACAGTAGACCTTGTAGACAGCTGGAGCTAGAGTTACCGCCCTGTAGTTAAGTGGGTCCAACTTGTCAACCATCGATGATTTTGGTATTGGATTAATAATACCCTCCGACCACATTCTTGGGATTTTAGCTGATCTGGAACATACATTAAAAAGTTTGTATAATAGTCCCACAGTTAATTCCCCTTTCAGCAGTTGTGTTGGTATCTCGTCCACGCCCGGTGCTTTCCCACTTCCAGGCTGTGTCACATCATCTTCTGACGCCATGCCATCATCTGTGACGTCGCTTTTGTTTCCCATTCCATTCAGAAGGAGTTCATAGTCTGATGCCCATTTCGCTAAAACAGTTTCTATATTTGAAGTATTTCCCCATTTCCCAACCTCACTTCCATTGGCATACCTTTACGGCGTTCCAACAACAGCCTTCCTTCAAAGGATTAACTGCCAATAACGTTGAATGATTGCCCATTGTTGACTAACTAAACTTCTTTTTTAAAGAATAGAGGACATCATGCAATTAGTTGTCAAGAGTGCTATCTTGGGTGACCAATGAGACTATACACCAATGTGAAAAACCTGCAACAGTCACGTAACCAGTTGAGAAAGTACCACTAGTTATAACGCTATATCACTTTTAGACTGTTAAAAGACACATGACATGGAACAGGATTCTTTGTCAGCTGCAGATGAATGGTATATCGTTCCTTTATGTGGATATTGATGGATACATAGCTTTAGTCTGTTTTAATTTTAATATTTGCATTTTCTTTTATTCATTTGTTGTAGCATTCAACAGAATCGTTTTTTCGCTGTGAAGTGTAATGAGACAGACAACATACTCTAGGTCGTACTTAGGGCATGAGTGTGAAATATGATTCACTTTGGCAATCTATAAAATGTCTAGATATTACAGTCATGTTATAAATTCATTAAAGTATAAGCAGATCGTGTACTTTTTATTAAGTGTCAAATGCAAACAAATATGATAATAAACTAATTAGGATTATAAGACAAAATATAAAGACGAACATTGAGATCTATATTTTTCAGCTCTAACAATGTTTACCACTTGCAGATGAAGTCAAACTTCAAAATGTTTTCATTTGTTATCATAATAATGAAGATGGAAATATTAACGAGTAAAAAAGATTTCATCAGTGCATGCTTATACTACCAATTGCGCTTGCGGGTGGCATAGCAGAGGTCACGAACCAGTCAAGAATTCTGGGATAACATGGGGGTAGTGACGGGAGAAAAACAATAACAAAAGCAACAACCAGTCCACTGAAATTGCTCTGGATCAGTGTCCCTTAAGTATGTAACACGTGCACAAGGGTTATGGGTTTTCAATTTCCATGGACTTTCCGTTATACCTATTTGCCTAAGTAAATTCTAACATTTTTCTAGCAAAGTCAAAGTGGATTTTATTTAGTTTACAGATTCAAATAAATCAAATGTGTGTTTTTAATATCATAAGTCAACAGGCATCACCTTTTTACATGACATAATTAAGTATTGAGATAAAAAACAGAAATGGGATAAAATTGGATCACTCAGCATACCATCCACACATCAGAAAATCTGAAAAAGCTAGCGTACTCTGCTGGGACACTTTACTAGACTAGAATTACCGGGGATATTTTCAGATTTATAACGGCATCTGATGGGCATCGATTGTTCTTTTTTGTCATATTGTTTAGTTTAAGGAAATAGTGCCAACGTGGACAGCTGCCCAGTCCTCCTGTTCGTCACGGTCGAGAGAACACCTGGCAGCTAGGTGACGTAATTAGATTGTTGGCGTGAAACATCAATCGCTCTGGATCAATGTCCCGTTGATTGACTTGATTGATTGAAGTACAGGAAGTTTTCAGTGAGTGATATCAGATATAACCAATGAGACCTACTTTAATATACCGTATATTTATATAGCCACAGGACTATGACAATTCACTCAAACATCTGAACAATCTTGTCGTTAATCACTATTTATTTCCACAAATGATCTAATCATTTTGATACTTAAGAATTTTTTCAGTATGGGCCTACAAGGTAATAGTAACTATGCATCCATCACTAATGAGATACTAACAACTCGTCTATATATACCTTTTGTTGTCCAACTATCTCACTCTCGTAACAACTGTAGTACCACAGAAGTGTTATGAAAACTCAGAAAAAACGGCCTGATCACATACTCCGGAAGCAAACCGTCTTGTCAACTGAGCTTCGTCTCTTCATGAGTTACCTCCCTTTACATTTCGACAAAAATACTTCCTGTTGCGCAGTATAGGTCCGTCTCCTATTCTCGCGGGTTTCCTATTCTCGCGGTAAATACGTTTTGTGCCGAAATCGCCGATGCGTGACACTTAGCGGTTGTTTACATCACCGACTGGTAACTAGGAAGTGGACCAAGTCGGTGAATAATCAAAATCTTGCAGTGTCACGAATATTGGGGAGTTTATACCAACTTGGACATATCATTACTTTTTCCCGCCCTTTCCGGCAGGATGACTCTTACATACACTCAATAACGTTAATTCCTCGTAATACCGCGAGAATAGGAGAAGCCTCATTTCGTCAATGGCGGATGGCATTGTTTATCACCGGGCTCACGAGTGGTAATTCACCTGATGGATCTGGCAGCTGATAGATGTAGATGATAGAGGAGAAGGCCCTTCATTTAAAAACAACAAGCATTCATACGATAAGAATTGTTTATGTTATTTTTTTCAGCCGATATCCGTAAGTACCGCGAGAATAGGAAACGCCTTCCTATATGGACACGCACTTCGCAGTGATGACTAAATCGTGTCAAAGACGTATATAGATATAGTCCTAGGCCAAATGTTAGAAAAGTCCCTATCTTTTAGGATCTCTCAGCAGCAGTAAAAGCGTTATCCAGTAATTGGTATGACAACTCCCACCCTCCAGAGATTCTTGTCAATGTGGAACTAGACACAGAATGTATCAGGTTGCTGAAAACAAACAAGGATTACCCCGCTGTTGAAACAGTGTCCACATGTTCATAGACCAACTTCATGAGTATTAACCGCATGGTTTAATGGACCGTGACAAGCACTGGTGTTCAACATGATCAGGATGTGCAGTATGGGTGATAAGGCCTGGTGTATCATATTACCTGATAATGATGTTATCTCTACCCCCCATCACGGGGCCTTTTATACAGTACTATGACCCCGTCAGTGACAGTATATACCTTGATGGCAGTTTTTAGCGTTACAAGCCCCTGTGGGTCTCATTACATACGAATTATACGAAACTCGTGTCCTTTCGCTCGGTCAGATACCATAGGAAGGTCAAGAGTTTCGTATAATTCGTATGTTATGAGACCGAGTGTGGTATTTTATTATTACCCACGTCTTACCTACATAAAATTGACAAAATAGCATCTAGTTTTTGTTATTTTCAGGCTTTCAACCCGAAACTGGTTTCATAAAGAGGATGCGGAAGAATTTTGTTCTGTAGTACACATTTTGCATGACGTCACACTGTAATGTCACTACGCCTTGCTCGTCTGCCCCCTTGGTAACCGACGTCACGATGCATGTCAGTTGTCATCGCCTCATACATCTTCCTACAGTAAACTACTCCGTAGCACCCCGTTTCTTGGTTTGCAATTGCTTCACTCGGCTAACATCACTGGTGGAAACATTGCGTTTATGTTTTTTTGACAGTTATAATGTCTCATTTCGACTGACAATTAAACAGCGATACGGCAACGGCCGCAATGTTTACATTCCCACAATGCATATAAGTTGTACAATGAATGAATTCTCCTGTTTGTTATGAATGTTCAATGTTATGATTCTGTTCAAAGACATTTTCTTTGGAAGTTATTATATAAACATGGTCTGAGTCGTAAAATGGGTCAAATGCTAGAGTCTATTTATAATAGTGTAAAATCGTGTGTTCGTTCAAATAGTAGTTTATCTAGTGTATTTGATTGCCAGATGGGAGTCAGACAAGGGTGTATGCTTTGCCCCTTTTTGTTTCAGCTATATATAAATGAATTAGTAATGTAATTGCGAGTGAATGTCGGTTTTGTGTCCAGCTACATCCAGATGTTTTCCTTCTTTTATTTGCTGATGACCTTATTTTGTATGGGAAGTGCGTGAGAAGTTTACAGTTTAAACTAGATATTCTTAACAGGTATTCTTCAGAATGGAAATTGTCAGTCAATATGCATAAAACTAACATTGTAGTTTTTAAGAATGGAGGCGGTTTATCTCGGTTTGAAAAATGGTTTTATAATGGTAATAAAAATAAATAATAATAATAATTGCTTTGTATAGCCCCTATTTCCAACTATACTATCCACACAAAGAAAGTGTGCATTGTCAAAATATTATCCCAGTTGATAAGTACGATAACAATGTCAAAGGTACATATAAACTTTAATGGAGGGATCATGAGACCATAAGTCGGGAGAATTTCAATTGAAAAGTCAATCACAATGACGTCACGAGTCCACAAGCGGGACAGGGGTCAAACGACCATGGCACAAGCTCAATAACGGGTATGTCCACCATCGGCATTGAGAACAGCAGTGCATCGACGACGCATAGAGCCTATCAAACGTGCAAGGAAGGCTTGTGGGATGTCACGTCAGATACTCTCAAGTTCTGTTGCAAGGTCAAGGACGTTATGTGGCGGATGAGGAAGACGGCGTAGACGTCGATCCATCTTGTCCCAAACATGCTCTATCGGGGAGAGATCAGGTGAATTTGCAGGCCAAGGCAGTAAGTCAACGTTGTGGTGTGGCAAGAAATCCATAGCAACCCTTGCCGTATGAGGGCGGGCATTGTCCTGTTCGAATATTAACCCAGGGCCATGACGTTGCAGAAAAGGAATTGCCACAGGTCGAAGAATCTGATCCCTGTAGCCCACACCAGTTAAGTTGCCCTGAACAATCACCAAAGGAGTTCTTTGGCGTGCTGTTATGCCACCCCAAATCATCACGGAACCACCACCAAAGCGATTCCTCTCCAAGACACAGGCCTCTGCATAACGTTCTCCCACGCGTCTATAGGCACGTTGACGTCCATCACTATGGGAAATGTTAAACCTGGACTCATCTGTAAAAACAACATTTCTCCACCAAAACAAGGGTCTGCGGACATGATTTCGGCACCACATTCGGCGAGCTTGTCGATGACGTTGTCAGGATAGGCCGTATGGCGGGACGTCGTGGTCTGATCCCGTGATGACGTAAACGTTGTCGAACTGTGTTGGGGTGGATGCGGCGAAGTCCTGGGATGGTTCGGGCAGCCATCACTGCAGTCTGAAATCTGTGGCGAAGATGGGTCACCCTTATCCATCTGTCCTGTCTTGGCGTTGTTACACGTGGACGTCCAGAACGTGGCCGATCGATGACGTCATTTGTGTTCTGGTAGCGTCTCGCCAGTGCAGAAATGGTGTTCAGGTGGCAGTGGAAATGTGCAGATACTTGTCGTTGAGACATTCCCCCACGGACCATCCCAATGGCCTCATGACGTTGTGCAGACGTGAGCCTTGGCATGCTATGCGTTTCAATAGCCGTTTAAGTTTTTGAACGATCGCAAGGGCAGGGCTTGAGCTTTCCAAAGTGACAGTATTGTGTGGCATTCATTTGCTCGGTTTCTCTTTCCCGGAATGCACGTGCAACAACGTATTGCACGTCTCAAGGACGAACCCATTGACGTCACGGAACGTGGCACGTGCATGCATGTTGGATACATGTCACTAATCTCTGAGTTTAAATCCTTATGTGTCTACACAGGTTGGATAAATTTAAATTTTAAATTTGTGTATGCACAGTTTCTTTATGTGCCTAGTATATATGCAGCTGCTGAATGGTGCTTTACACGTTACAGTTCCATCACTAGATGAGAAAAGAAATGTTTTGAGTTTTCTCTTAAAAGTTGGGAGAGAGTCACTGTTCCTGATAGCACGGAGGACCGCGTTCCACAGGGCGGGAGCTGCAACTGAGAAGGCACGATTTCCAGCCTTTGTTGATGTTGACGGAACAACCAGTTTCTCCTTCTGGACAGAACGTAAGGTTCTAGATCGGTGGTAGACCGATAGCAGGTCCTTTAAATAAGTAGGCGATGACCAACATAGAGAGCATTGTACGTCAAGACGAGCAACTTGAAACTGACCCGATGTCTAATGGGCAACCAGTGTAAATCTCTGAGAATTGGCGTAATGTGACAATCCTTTCTGGTGACTCTCTGTAAGTGAGAGATTACGCCAGATCCAAACACTAGAGAGTTACAGTTAGTGATGTTGAAGTTGTTTCAGGCTATTGTTATCTTGCATTGTATTTTAATAACAGGTTACAGTTGTCGAAAGCGTTTGAGAATATTTCTATTCAAGCCAGAAAAATGCTGTCATTACTTCTTAGTAGTATACATTGTTTGAAACCACACTCGCCTCATCTGTACTTCAAATTATTCGATACAAAGATAACACCAATTCTCCTCTACGGGGCTGAAATTTGGGGGCTTAATAATATGGAAGAACTGGAAAAGTACATTTATATGCTTGCAAACGTTTTTTAAACGTTAAGTTATCAACGTCCAATAATGGAGTGTTAGCCGAGTGTGGTAGATATCCTATTCAATTATCTACTGTTTTAAAATGTATTAAATATTGATTAAATCTTATTAACATGCCTGAATGCCGTTTGCCTTGAAAATGTTACAATATCTTGTGAATGCTTAGTGTTGTGCCGTTTTGGAGCTTTCATCCTCGGAAGACCAACACCATGAAACTGTTAGTGAACGATTTAAGAACATCATAGTGAACAATTCCATGTCGAACTCGAATTTACACAGTGAACGCTTAACGGTGGTTATTCAATAAGTTTCTAGTGACAAACCTGAGCTGTACTGCCCATAAGTCGTTTATTCACAGAGAAACCATAGATACATCCGGAATAAAATCATGGATGAACGGCCAAACACTAAAGCTCAATGATGAAAAAACAGAGGTTCTACTTGTTGGCAGAAAGCATCACCTAACTCACCTCAGAAATGAAGTCACAATTGGTTCAGCACAAGTGTCTACATCGAGACTTGTGAAAGACCTCGGAGTTCAGATTGACGCAGACCTTTCACTGCAGGAGCAAGTCAACAGGATATGCAAATCATGTTATTTTCATCTTAAAGCCATAGGAAACATCAGGGATTACATCACAGCGGAATGTGCCCACATCCTAGTCAGA